TTCTTCTCTGCTGCTCAAGTAGGAGGGCGAGGCAATATTCCCTGTGGCGGGCACTTGTTGTTGGATCGTTTGTCGCCCGGGCATCGTCCTCCTGAAGGGAATGACTTTGTAACTGGGCCCTGTTAGGACAACTGTAATCTCAGGACCCAAGAGACTTTGCGGTGGATGCCTGGCCTGGCCTCTGCCTCTCAGGAGAGGCAGCCTGGAGAAGAGCCGCAGGCTGAGGTCTCTTTGGCCAAGGTCCTGGAACAGGCAGAGGCCACATTTCCATTTAAAAAACAAACACACAGGCTCAGGGTGGCTCACAAGCCTTCTAATGGCCGGCGGGACCAATCCATTCTGTGCTCCCAAAGATCCCGTCTCTCGGCTGCAGCGGACGCGACTTGGAGTCTCCCCCTCCTTTTGGGGAACGGCGGCTTCTCTTTGGCTGAAAGCTGAAGTAGGAGGGGGCGGGGCTTCAGCAGCCCAACTGGGAGGTCCCTGTGCAGTCCTTGGACCCCAGCCAATCATAGAACCATCGAGCTGGAAGACCTCTGGGGCTGGCCTGCAGCTACAGTGGGGGCATTGGGGGCTCCGCCTCCTTCCTTAAAGGGCCAGCCCCGCAAGATTTTTTTGAGAAGAATGGGGGTGGGGTGAGTGCACAGCCCCCCCCCCGCTTCTTCTCAAAAGCATTTCAAGGCCACGTGCTCCCCGCCAATCAGCTGAAGTGCTCGTTAAATCTTGCAGGAGGGGAGGGAGGGGGTGGCTGCCGGCAGTCGGGCTTGGGGGACGGATTGGAGGTGACATAAGAATAACGGCAGCCCCACCAGCAAAAGATTTTTTGCCCCACAAGCCACAAAATCCTGGCTACGGGCCTGCTCCAGGGTCATCTAGTCCAACCTCCTGCACAAAGCAGGGAATTCACAAATGCGTCCCTCCCACACCCCTCGTGACCCCTGCTCTGTGCCCAGTAGAGCTCTCTCCCATGGGTTGAGGAGGGTTATATCCCAAGCCTAAGACCTGACGCAAGGCAGAAGACAAATGTTCAGACTGTCTTGTGTGCCTAGAAAGCGGAGGGTGGCTCCTACCTCTGTCCTACCACTCCCCGGGGCGCAGTTCGAAGCTCTTCCCCCAGCCTAAGGAGCCGGTTTTGAACGTCAACTTAAGGAACCAGCTTTCGACTTGCCTGGAGGACCGAGAATGAACACTGGACCCTGCGCTGTCCTTCCTCTGTCCGTCTCTTTGGGGAGCCCGACTTCCATTTTGCCCCACAGCAGGCGGAGGAGGGCGAGGAGAGACAGTAGCCCTGTCCTCTTTTGCACGCTTGGGTCCTTTAAAAACATTTAGTCTGGGTCTCCAGACCACACCTGCTTTGACTCATCCCTGCCCAACTCAAACGGCTGGAGGAGAGGGGGCCCTTCCCGGGAAGAAACACTGCAGGCCTCGTAGGGGGCGGAGGGAAAGCACCGGCCTGCTTTGGAATCCTGGGGTGCCCTTTGCCCTGCGGGAGCCTCGGGCCTGGGGCCAAGAGAAAGCAGCAAACCGGTCCGACTCTTTGCTCCCAGATCTCACAACTGCTCTGTAAGCCTCAAAGGCAGATAGGCCGGAGAACATCCAGGCGTTTGTAGTTGTGCAGAAGAAGCAGGGTCCAGTTGCCGTCACTGGGAAACGGTGTCGGTTTTGTGAGGGTCCCCAACATGGTGCCCAACCCCCTTTTCTGGTACCCCATCAAGCGTTTTCAGAAAGGGAGCGGGGCTCGGTGGGGCTTTTGCCCAGTGGGGCTTCTGATTGGCTGTGCAGATCGAAAGGGCATGCTGTTAAAGGGAACTTCCGCTTGACATGTTGAAGAGTTGCTATTAGAGTTAGATGTAACCTCACTCCCTGACATTTTGTGATTGGCTCCGCCTCTGGCAGCAGCCATTTTGTGATTGGCTCCGCCTCTGGCAGCAGCCATTTTGTGACTGCAACAACTGCCCTCTGTCAAAATTCCAGAAGTGCTCACTGGCTCAAAAGGGTTGGGGACCCCTGGCCTACGCTTGTCCTAAGAAGGGCAGTCAGCGCCATTAGCTCTTCTGGGTTCCCTCTAAGCTGAGTTAGTGTGGGCTAGCTCACAGTTTTTTAGCCTCCAGCTCACGCATTTTTTGTCTTCTCAGGAAGGAGGGCTCCAGAGCAAACTAATTTATGCAGCTGACAAGTCGCTGGCTCACAACTTTAACGCCAGTAGCTCACAAAGTAGGATTTTTGCTCACAAGACTCCACAGCTTAGAGGGAGCACTGCTCAGAGCTACTAAGAAAAGGGGGAAAAAACCCAGCCCTCCCCGATGGTGCAACAAAGAACTCTGCTTCACATACTGAGGCCTTGGGCTCGTCACATACTTCGGCCAGAGGTGCACGGGACAGGACAAAGTCCCGTTAGGCCTTCCTGTGGAGAGTGTGGTGGCAAACGTCCATTGCTGTCTGGACTCTCCAGGGATAAGGAAAAACAAGCAATCTTTTGACACTCATTTGCCGCTGCTGCCAACACCTGCACTCTGGCTGGACACTGGAGCCAGGGGTTCATGGGAAAGAGCAGAGACATTTCAGGAGGTGGACCGGGCTTCTCACCTTTCTCCTTGATGGCCGTTTTCTGCACTTCTGGGATCAGGAAGCGATAAACCAGTTCGGCCACAATCTCTTCTGATTGCAGGCGAGTTTGGCTGCAAAGCAGAGCAGGAGGGTAAGAGGAAGAGAGAAGAAGAGATTGGATTTATACCCCGCCCTTCACTCGGAGTCTCAGAGCTGCTCACAGACTCCTTTCCCTTCCCCTCCCCTCCCTACAACAAGACACCCTGTGAGGTCGGTGGGGCTGAGAGAGCTCTGAGAGAAACTGCTCTGACAGAACTGTGGCTTGCCCAAGGTCATCCAGCATCTGTATATGGAGGAGTGGGGGAATCAAACCCGGTTCTCCCAGATTAGAGTCCGCACACTTAACCACTACACCAAACTGGCTCTCAGGTTTTTGTCGCCCTCACTACGTTTTTCCTTCTGCATCTTCTGCTGATTGTGAAGAACTTTGCACCTGTCCCTGAGAGAGATCTGAGGGCCAAACAACACATGCCCTCAAGGACCCAGGGTTGGATCCCTGGCATGTACTCTATCTGCAAAGTGCAGTGGAAAAGGGTCTTGACGTGGCTTGGGAACATAGGGCGTCTCATAGGGCACACGTCTCCCAAAACTAAAAAAGAGATTTACTGTGGTGCAAACTTTAACGGCCCAGAAAATCTTGCTCTGACCAAGCTGACAAAGTCAGTCCTGGTCCATGCAAGTTGACATTCCAAACAGTCTTTTAAGGCGCTAAAGGTTTCCCTTGCTCGAAAGCCAGTCGAATCTGTCTCTGGGGGGGGGTGCTTGTCTCCGTTTCCAAGCCAAAGAGCCAGCGCTGTCCGAAGACTTTTCCGTGGTTATGTGGCCAGCATGACTAAACGCCGAGGCACACGGAACGCTGTTACCTTCCCACCGAAGCAGTACCTATTTATCTACTTACAATTTCTTGCTTTCAAACTGCTAGGTTGGCAGGAGCCGGGGCCAGAGACGGGAGCTCACTCCATCATGCGGCACTCGGGTCTCACACTGCCGAGCTACCGACCTTCTGGTTTGCAGCTCAGCATCTTAACCTCTGAGCCACCGTGGCCCTCTTTAAGGCACTACTAGACTGTTAACCTGTCACTGATGTTCTACTCAAGAGGGAAGGCAGCATGGTGTACAGCCCGATCTCATCAGATCTCGGAAGCTAAGCAGGTTCGGTACTTGGATGGGAGACCACCAAGGAAGGCTCTGCAGAGGGAGGGCAGGGCCAACCACCTCTGCTTCTCACTTGCCTTGGAAGCCCTTTTTAGTGTTCCTTGTAAGCTGAGTTAGGGTGAGCTAGCTCACAGTTTTTTAGCCTCTAGCTCACACATTTTTGTCTTAGCTCAGGAAGGAGGGCTCCAGGGCAAACTAATTGATGCAGTAGCCAAATCACTCACAACTTTATTGCCAGTAGCTCACGAAGTAGAATTTTTGCTCACAAGACTCCACAGCTTAGAGGGAGCACTGGTCGCTATAAGTCGGCTGCGGCTTGACAGCAGATTAGACACACCTCACACTCCTCAGTGGTGTGTGTGTTTTTTTCTTGGGGAGGAGCCGTGGCTCAGCGGTAGAGCCTCTGCTCGGCATGCAGGAGGTCCCAGGTTCAATCCCCGGCTTCGCCAGTTAAAAGGAGCGGGCGGTAGGTGATGAGAAAGGCCTCCGCCTGAGACCCTGGAGAGTCGCTGCCTGTCCGAGGAGACAGTACTGACCTCAATGGACCCAGGGGTCTGATTCAGTATGAGGCAGGTTCATGTGTTCGACTGGCCTTCCGTGCAGCCCAAGGGCGGACTGACCATTACAGCCACCGGGACTTCTCCCAGTGAGCCGACAGCTGGCTCCCGCCACCACCCTGAACCGGGCGAGCCCGGCAGCAAGAAGGATAACACCCAGCCAGGGATTGTTGTCTGGAGCCCTCCTTCCTGAGCTGAGACAAAAATTGTGAGCCAGAGGCTTAAAAACTGAGCTAGCTCACACTAACTCAGCTTAGAGGGAACACCGGTTGTGCCCAGTCCCGCCCCACACTGTCTGAAGGCGGCAGCCAAGGGAAGGTGGTACCCCACCGAGTTTTCTAGGGCTGTCTCCCCCATCCCCCCGGGTCGAAACACACATGCATTCTGCACTAGCACAGAAGACAACCCTGGAAGTTGTAGAGCTCTGGCCAAAATACTGGCCCCCAAATGCCTGAGGCAGGGCACTGTTCCCCTGCGCATATCCCAAAGAGAAGGACCGGGATCTTCCCACTTGGTTTCTTCCAGTTGCTGTAAGCACTTCTCCATGTGTTAAAATAGGCCATACCAAGTAATGGGGGAAGACAGGCGGTGGTGAGGCTGCCTAGATGACTGCTGGAAGAATGTCGCTTACAGGTAAGCAACCTGCATTTCTTCTTTGGGATCTTTGTGCCACTTATCTGTTAGGAAGCAGGTTCTGGGGCCACCTCAGTAGAAATGGAACGTCAGACAGACGACCTGGGCCAAACGGAGGCACCATGTGAGACGTTCAACGGTCAGGCCCAGGGGAGGCTGTGCAACTGGATTATGGACATGAGGAAGGAGGAAACTGCTATGGTTTGAAAGAGCAATGGCTTTTTTTTAACCAATTTGGATACTCTCTATGCTGAAAAGGTTTGTTCCAGGCAGTGGCCAGTGCTGCATGTTTAACCTTTCAAGGTTTAGAGGCCTCTGGGCTGCCAATGGTAGAGGTGGCAGGACGAAGAAGAAGAAGAGATTGTATTTATACCCTGCCCTTCACTTGGAGTCTCAGAGCGACTTACAAACTCCTTTCCCTCCCTCTCCCCACAACAGACACCTTGTGAGGTGGGTGGGGCTGAGAGAGCTCTGAGAGAACTGTCCCTTCAAGGACAGCTCTTGTCAGAACTAAGGCTTGCCCAAGGTCATCCAGCAGGTGCAAGTGGAGGAGTGGGGAATCAAACCCAGTTCTCCCAGATTAGAGTCCGTGCACTTAACCACGACACCAAACTTGGCAGGAGGAGGACATCCTGGCAGGGAAAATGATGAGACTGAGGTAAAATGACTGCACTGCCTTTCTCTAGCAAAGGGGAAGGAAAGAAGGCACGGAGGAGCGGAGATGAGGGGAGCTCATCTCTTCAGGCTTCAGCGTCAAAGAGCATAAGGCCTTCTTTGTGCAGGTCTGTGCCCTATTGCTTCTATCTGTCCCAGCCCAAACCAGTTAGTTGTTTGCCTGTGACACTTAGCCAAAGTAACAGAGGACAAGAAGCAGCTGTGGTGTGTACAAGATAGAGAAGCGGCTTCTTGAGGGTGGCGCAAAGGCAAACTGAGGCATCAACACTGAGGGCCAGAACTGCACATGACAAGGCATGACAGAGACTGCTAGAGCAAAGGTGGGGGGAGAGAGGCAATTCCCGCCAGCTTCTCGAGTTTTCAGTCTTTCTGTTAAGCTGGAAAAGTTACTGAAGGGAATAATCAACTATAAATATCCAGCCCTTTCTAGCACGGAAATTAAAGAGCAAACTAGAAAAAAGAAAAGGGGGGGGGGGGGGAGAAAAGGGACTAAAAACTGAGGCAAATATTCCCTCCAGGAAAAGAGCAGCTAAGCATATAATTACAGATCTGCCTCCCGCTTCCCCAGCAATGTTTAAAAATGCAGAAAATTCTCTGAGGGAATGAAAGGAGGGCAAATGTCCACCTACTTCTAACACAGAGACAAAGGCATAAACTAAAATTAGGGGAAAGGAGGCTAAAACGGAGGGGAAAAGAAATATTCCTGAGGAGCAAGTTGTGAGGACATTACTCACAGAACTGTCTGCAGCCTCAAGCCCAATTATTTTTAAAATGTAGAAGAACTCACCCAAGGGAATGAAGCAAGGACAAATGTGGAATCCAGAGGTGAAAGTCTAGGCTAGGAAGAGGAATGGAAAGCTACAGGTGAAGAAAAATATTCCTGAGGAGAAAGGTGGGAGACCAGCTGCTTCAAACATGGCAGGTAGAAGAGAACTGCGTGGGGAGGGGGCTTGCTCGGAAAGGAAGGCTAAATCTGAGGGGAGATATTCCTGAAGAGAAAAGTGGGACAAGAATTGCTTCAAACATGGCGGTTAGAAGAGAACTGCGTGAGGAGGGGCTTGTTCAGCATGGAAGGCTACATCTGAGGGGAAAGATTCCTGAGGAGGTGGGAGAAGAGCTGCTTCAAACATGGTGTTTAGAACAGAACTACATGAGGAGGGGGCTTGCTCAGAAACCAAGGCTGAGTCTGAGGGAAAATATTTCTGGTAGGACAAGAGCGGCTTCAAACACGGCATTCAGAGGAGAACCGCATGAGGAGGGGCTTGCTTGCCCCCCCCCCTCAGGTCATGCACAGAAAGGCAAAGCTCTCTTTCGGGGGAGAGGGGATTTGAGAGCCAGGCCTTTGGGTGGAGCTCCAGAATATTCTAAAGCTGTTCCTCCAGAGGCACAGAACCCATAGGTGTGACTGTACAAAGACTACGAAGACAACCTGCCTTCTGTGACACATCCGTAGCTCTGCGAGGTTGCTCCCTGAAAGAGCCCCTACCGTTTCTCCATTTCATAAGCAATGTCGTTGACTTCCATGGCCACTTTCTGAATCTCTTCTCTGGCTTGTTCGTCCGCCGTTGTCTCCATGCTGCTCAAGATCACATCTTCCAGGTAGGAGTCAACCGTCCTTTGGTGTATGTTAACAACCTAGGAGGGAAAAAGGCCATCTTAGCCTCAAATCGCATGATGAGCTTTCTGCACTGCAGCCCATTGTGTGGCTCCAGACAATGACGCCACACCAAACTGGGGGATCTCCATCATTCCACCTGCCGCCTTCTCAGGTGGACAGCTCACGGTTTGTGTTTGTGGAGCTCGTTCGTGAGATTTAGCTGAGGACATGTGTGAAGTTCTCTTGGTTTTTACTCAAAAGTCTCCATCATTTGCCTGCATGTCTGAGTTTACTCAAGACTGTGGAAGGGGCAGTCTCGGTGTGTGTGTGGTGAACAGAAGTGTGTCAAGGAAAAGTCTAGATCTGGGCCTATTTGAATCTGCAGAAAAAGTGTTAACAAAAATCTGATATTGTGTTGTGTCCCTGGACGTCCTTCTACTGCACGACAGACCTGGGTCACCTTCGTGGTGACAGCCACTTCCGCATTCTGGCTGTTTGCCTCTCTGCTTTCACCCTGCCCCACAAAAAGAAGAGCGTATTCTTTTTTTCTTTTTGTCGTGTAGCCTATTGGATACCCATGTTGTGCCACATTGCTCCCCCGCATCTCCAAATACAAGATGCTCTTCTTCGTGAATACAGAAAGATAATTGAAAACAGAGAGTTGCCCATCCACAAAGGCGTGGCTGATGTGGGCCTATCCAGACTAGGATCCCAACACCCCAGCAATAAGAGCTGCACAAATCCTGCCATCGCAAAATTTTGATCTAGGGAACGAATGGCTGCGAACGTAGACGCGATCAGTTCTGCCCGATATCCATAGCCTGATAAACACCAATGAGAGGCCCACAGGATTTGGCTTGCCGTGAAAGTATGGAAGACGGCTAATAGAATACAAACAGGGTTTGGCGGTTGGGCAGACCTGTTGTTTAAATGGGGCAAAATACCAGGGCCTGAATGCGATCGTGGTGCAGCCCACCAAACTATTTTTCATATGTTGCGGGAATAAGCGTCGTGCTTTCCAGGGAGATGTGCCCGAGCTCTTTAAAATCTCCCCAGCTGTGATTTGAGTGGATTGAAAATTTAGATGTTAGTATTTAGGGGGCTTGCCCAATCAGTCTGTATACTCGTTGTATCGACTTGGTTACGGACTTTATATTATTACACACTTCCTGTGTGTCACTCTGCCATAAGATAAATATATCTGACAAAACCACCAAATATGAGTCACCTACCCTGATCCTATCTCTCTGCTGAGCAAAGCTGATTCCTTTGTGCATTGATTTATTAAACTATGAGTCCTCACCTTTCATTTTGGCTCAAATTTGAAGTATTCTTACAGTCTACAGAGTTGGCTGCCCTGATCTGGTCAGATTTCAGAAGCTAAGCAGGGCCAGCCCGGGTTAGCACTTGGATGGGAGGCCACCAAGGAAGTCCAGGGTTGCCGTGCAGAGGCAGGCAAGGGCAAACCACATCTGAGCGTCTCTTGCCGTGAAAACCCTACGGGGTCACCACGATAAGTGGGCTGGGACCTAACGGTGCTTTCTGCCACCGTCTACTTCCAGCTTAAGTGGCTCTCCCATTGGAGGAGGAGCCACTTAATTTTGAGGAAGGCTACTTAGAGGATGGTTGGATTTACTCCACCATTTGGCTCTGCTGCAAAGCTATGAAGCTCGATTGGCCAGTGACTAGGACCTCATCCACCCTTCCGACCACCTGTCCTCCACATGCCTGTTTGAATATCTCATCCTCTTCCCGCCGGCGCCTCTGTTCCACTTGCCGGCGTCCGCTCTCCTCTGCTTCCCGCATCCGGCGTTGCCTTTCGGCCAGCATCGCAAAAGCGTGGATCCGCCGCTCCTCCTGGAGCCTAATCAGCTCTTTGGACAAGAAGTCCAGCAGGTTGGCAATGGTCCTTCCTTCCACGTGAGCCAGATGCTTCTCCATCATGGACAGCTGAGGACAAAACAAGAAGAACTGTAGTGGATTTCATAAGAAAAATCACTTTCGTGGAAATGGTGCTCTGGGTCCCAGGGCCCTACCTGGATGTGGGGCTAAGGCTTTGTCCACATATCATTTTTGGAGTTCATGCGGCAATGGATTGAACCCACCCGGGGGCTGGCATTCCTTTGAAACAGCCAGATGGAGATCAAAACCTCTTTGACTGAACTAAAGCAATGCATTAATCACCAAATCACAGTGCTGCTTGGTGATCGAATACTCTCTTGAAACATTCGACCCTCGCAGGACATGCCCCTCAACCTCCAAGGGAGATATTGAGGTTTATTCATTTGTTCCACATTCAAAGTGAATCCCTGTACTTCCCAGGCAATAAACACTCAACATATGTTCAAAATTAATACTTCTATTTCAAAGTAATCTGATAACTCTAGATCGGATTAAACATAACTTTACCGAACAGATACACAGAACACTGGCAGACACCACAGAAATCAATCCTATATAAGCATCCGTGGCATTCCTATTCTAAGTTGACTTTAAGAAAAAGGGTTAAATTTCACAGCTTCTTACCCGGAGCTTTGCTAAAAAAGGGGGGGGCAGATTTCACTAAATCCCAAATCTGAGAGATTACAGGGGTTCTCACAGGGTTCCCTCTAAAATGAGTTAGTGTGAGCTAGCTCAGTTTTTTAGCCTATGGCTCACACATTTTTGTATTAGCTCGGGAAGGAGGGCTCCAGGGCAAACTAATTCATGCAGCAGCCAAATCGCTCACTCACAACTTTAACGCCAGTAGCTCGCAAAGCAGAATTTTTGCTCACGAGACTCCACAGCTTAGAGGAGCCTTGTTCTCGGATGTGGCCCAGCTTAACCCAGATTCTATGACATAGGCCAACTTTACTGAACCTTGTGCTTCATGCCCTTTAAAGGTTAAGGCACCCTATCGTTAGACCGGCCCAAGAGGACTGTAACAGCTCCACTGAGCTTGAATGTCAGAACAGAACAGGTAAGGCTGTTGGCAGAGTGCCTCTGGCTCATAATAGAGAAGGAGAAGCATCCGGCAGGCTAAGCCAGGGGTCACTGTGGGAGTGGGGGGAAAGGAGTTGTGAATTTCCTGCATTTCCTGGATTGGACTAGATGACCTTTGCGGTCCCTTTCCAGCTCTATGTTTCTAAACCTTGGATAATCAGGAAGACGCATTCCTCTTCCGCTTCTGCCAAGCCCAGCCCAGCACAAGGCCCCAAACTTGGGGCTGAAGGGGGTTTGTGGGGTTTAACCAGTGGCCAGAATGCTGCTGCCACATCCGAGGAATGTCCTGGATGCAAAAGGGACACTGCCTGCACTCTTTCAGGATCCATGGTTCTGGCTGTCAGCCACAGTCAGCTGACATAACCTGTTGGTGCGTGTGTGTCACGTCCCCCCACTCACTTCCTGCCTCGGAGAACTGCAAAGGTCCTCCTCTCTTCCTTGCTCCACAAACTGCCATCGATTGGCCTCCAGAGGTTCTGAGACCCATCCCAGTCCGTCCTCCTTTCCTGCCCCGTCGTTTGATCTTCAGACTGCTTGGTTAGTTGGCACACGTTTGTGCCCCTTCATAGAATCACAGAGCTGGAAGGGGCCATAAAGGCCATCTAGTCCAACCCCCTGCTCAGTGCAGGATCAGCCTAGTGTTTGTCCAGACGCTGCTTAAAGACTACCAGGGAGGGGGAGCTCACCACCTCCCCAGGCAGCCGATTCCACTCTAAAATATTTTTCCCTAATATCCAGCCAGTACCTCCCTGCCCTTAATTTAAACCCATTCTTGTGAGTCCTCTCCTCTGCTGCCCAGAGAAACAGCTCCCTGTCCTCCTCTTGGTGACAGCCCTTCAGATACTTCAAGACAGCCATCATGTCCCCCCTCAGCCTCCTCTTCTCCAGACTGAACATTCCCAGGTCCCTCAGCCTTTCCTCACAGGGCTTGGCCTCCAGGCCCCTGATCATCTTCGTCGCTCTCCTCTGCACCCGCTCCATTCTGTCCACATCCTTTTTGAAGGGAGGCCTCCAGAACTGCACACAATACTCCAGGTGCAGCCTGACCAATGCAGTGTACAGTGAGACTATGACATTTTGCAATTTGGATATTATGCCTCTGCTGATTCACCTCAAGATCGCATTAGCTTTTTTTGCCGCTGCATCACACTGGCTGCTCATATTTAACTTACGGTCCACCCGTACCCCTTCCTCGCCCTTCTCTCAAGGTGGGTCTGTGTCCGACTTTGTTCCTGGGCCAGAGGGGGGCTCAAGTCCTCTTCCACCCCCAGCTCCACAAATGTGAAGAATGCAGAGGGGAGGGACTTTAAATGGGACAGGGAGGTGGGGGATGAACAGTGGACCCCAACCCATCCGAACCTTGTGCTCGTGTAAATCCCGCTGCCGCTGCAAGGCCAACGTCACTTGCTTCTCCGCTTTCTTCAAGAGCTGCCCGTCTTCCTGGAGAGCGTGAGTGGTGCGCAGCTCCTGGATCAGTTCCAGGCGCTTCTCCTTCCCTTCGAACATCTTTTGTTTAAAGAAATCACAGGGCATTGATTAAGGAAGGTTAAAATCTACACCACCATCCCATTCTGATCCCAGCACCGGGAGTCCCCTGCCTGTCACCACTTCCCTTGTCGTCCTGGAAGCTGTACTTACCAGACAGGCGCTGCACGTTCTGGGTTCAGAGCATCCAGCTGTGCACCGGAACGTGGTGTCTCGAAGACTGCTGGGTGCTCTGAACACATCTGGAAAGGCCCCCAGGGCCTGGTCCCGGATACCCCATTCAGGCAAGCTCGGAGGATGGGAAATCTGGGTGTGCCTCAGGGCCAAGCTATGTGCGACAGAGTGGATCCATCACCTAGCTCTCTAACACGCCATTTATCTGCAAGACACAGATGCTGTGAGTGGGCCGGGCACACATGGCGGAGACTGCTGGTGTTGGGAACCGGCTGGATTCACTCTCCCCCCAGCACGGTCTCCTCTGCTGCAAACGTCTTCCCAGGCTGCTTTGAATCTCACTATAACTAAACCAATAAATATATCTGTGTTTTAAAGAAACTTACTATTCAATGACAAACATATTATAAGATCATACCGAAGGCATTCTTTTATATTTGAATATGGAATTTAACGCAATTCAATTTAGCACAATTCAAGTGAAGAGCTAGTTTGGTGTCGTGGTGAAGAGCACGGACTCTAATCTGGGAGAACCAGGTTTGAGTCCCCACTCCTCCACATGCAGTTGCTGGTATTACCTTGGGTCAGTTACAAGCTCTCTCAGAGCTGTTCTCTCAAGAGCAGTTCTCTCAGAGCTTTACCCCACAGGGTGTCTGTTCTGGGGAGGGGAACGGAAAGGGAGGAGGAAGAGGAGGAGGAGACTGGATTTATACCCCACCCTTTCCCTTGTGGGACATTGTAAGCCACTCTGAGACTCCTTCAGGTACTGAATGGCAGGGTATAAATCCAATCCCCTCTTCCTCCTCTTACATTGAAAAAGCAACAAGACTAAATATAGATGGATTCCATTACAGCCGACAAGCAGTGTTCCCTCTAAACTGAGTTAGCATGAGCTAGCTCACAGTTTTTTAGCCTCCAGCTCACACATTTTTGTCTTCGCTCAGGAAGGGATGGCTCCAGAGCAAAGTAATTTATGCAGCAGCCAAACTGCTTGCTCACAACTTTAATACCAGTAGCTCACAAAGTAGAATTTTTGCTCACAAGACTCCAAAGCTTAGAGAGAACATTGCCGACAAGCCAATCCAGTGCCGACAGTCTCTAAGAACTCAATGTATGATGATGTACAACAGTCTCTATAGACTCAATAGGTATTAATGAAGTGACTCTCTGAAGACTCAAAAAATGTTGATGAAGCAACAACATGCATCCCGGGCAGTACAGTAGACAAAAGGGCCGTGTGTTGTTACCATAGCATACCTGTCTTGTTTTCCTACTGTGTCAAACAGTAGCCTACGGAAGTCATGTTTTGATTGAGGAAAAAGTGCAGGGGAGAGAGTTGAGTCCTTCCCTTCCTCAGCACCATGCCCCTGACCTCGGTCACCTCTCCCGTGCCCCATAGTTGCTTTTTACATATCCCCAACATCAGATTTACAGATCCCTCAACATCATGTATAGTGTCTTAGGGCCCAACTTGCCTTCACAAGCATGTCAGATAAGTACGCTAGGAAAGACAGGGCCCACCTTGATCACCCCTGATGGTGAAAACCTTCCAAACAAGAAAAGAGAGACCCACAAGATTTGGGGGGTATGAACTTTTGAGAGTCAAAGTTCCCTTTGTATCTGACAAAGAAGAAAGGTTAAAACGCTTGGGGCTCTTTCGCTTGGAGAAACGACGGCTGAGGGGTGAGATGATTGAGGTTTATAAGATTATGCGTGGGGTACAGCAGTTTGAGAAAGAAGTACTTTTCTCCCTTTCTCACAATACAAGAATTTGTGGGCACTCAATGAAATTGCTGAGCAGTCGGGTTAGAACAGATAAAAAAGAGTGATTAACACATGGAACTCACTGCCACAGGAGGTGGCAGTGGCTACAAAAATGGACGGCTTCAAGAGGGAATTAGATAAGCATATGGAGCAGAGGTCTATCAGTGGCTATTAGCCACAAGGTATAGATAGGGGCTCTGGGGCAAGTGGTGCTCTGTCTTCTTGGTGCTTGGGGGGGGGGGGGTAAAAGGGGGGGGGGGTTCTAATTGGCCCCACTGCTGGACCTCCTGATGGCACCTGGTATTTTTGGCCACTGTGTGACAGAGTGTTGGACTGGATGGGCCTTTGGCCTGATCCAGCATTGGCTTCTCTTATGTTCTTCTGACTCTTGAAAGTTCATACCCTGAAAATCTTGTGGGGCTCTAAGGTGCTTCAGGACTCGAACCTAGCTCTTCCTCTTCAAAGAGGCATTCTATCCTCCTCTCTCTACCTTCTTTTCAAGCAGTCCCCTTCCCTCTCACACTGGGAAGCAAAAAGACTCCTGATCTGAAAACCATTGTCCTCGAAACAGACAAGATGAAAGGCTGTGGCACTGCATCATATGTAAACAAGAAAAAAAATGCATGTGCCCAAATTTTAACACCAAAAATCAATGATTTAATAAATTATATAGATATGACATATATAGCACTTAGAACGAATTTTCCTATGACACAATAAATAGACAGGTAGAAATTCACAGGTAAAGTTAATCACAGGTAGAAATTCATAGTTGGAGTTTTTCCAAAAACAATTTGTAATAATGAATTGAGAAAAGTCCTTGAACTGTAAGGATGTAGTAATGTCTCTGCCAGCTGACTTGACGGACCCCGGCTATAAATCCGTTTCAATAATTTCTTCAAGAATCATGCTGGATTCAACATTTCAAAGATACATGCAGACATCCATAAAGTATATTCAGATACAGCAATCCTCAGTGGTTCCCAATGGAGAATCAATCATTTCTTGGAACCTCCCTTCAAAATTCTGAAGCATTTCACCACTATGCCATTTTCATTAGAGGTTTCATTGAAAATTTATTCTGAGTAATATATATGTTGTATCTAAATATTTATTAAATCATTGATTTTTGGTGTTAAAATTTGAGCACATGCATTTTTTCCTGGAAACAGACAGAGCAGTATGGCCACTTCATATACGATGACCTCTCTCTCTGTGTGCATGAGATTACTAAGTTCAGACATCATGCCAAAAACATGCTTAAGGAAGATTAACTATGGTCTGACCGGATGTCTGAATTGACCAACTGTGGTTTGCAAAATGCCCAACAAACATAGTTTGTGCTAACTGTGGTTTATCAGGACATTTTAATGAACAAACCATAGGTAGGGATGTTACTTGGCCTCCAAAGGCCATTGCATCAAGAGACTGAAGCGCTGATCAGATGGAAAATTAAAGCCCATCTGGATGGGATCCAAAGCATGGCTTCTGTAGGCCATGGTTTGACAAGATGGTTGAAATGAATCCAAAAGTCCCGGTGCCATTCTCATTAAGAGTTGAACCGAGTTTGTAGGATGGAGTGGAGTGCCAAAGGGATTCCCTTGCTGCCAGCACTAACTCAGCATAATGCACGTGGTGGGGAGAGAAACAGAATTCCACCCAGGGTCACACAGAGCCTTGCCACTGGATTGCTCAATACCAAAAGTGGAAAAATAGACAGAGGATACCATGTTCTGGACAGCTCTGCCTCGGATTAACTTCTGCAGGGTGATCACGGCTAGCTCTCTCTCTTCCTCTACCTGCCAAAACACAACAGAAGAACCGCTCATCAGCCACTGATTCCTTTCAGGAAGGCATGCAGGAAAAGGCACAAAGGGTGGACCTGTAAGACATCTCCTCGATTGCCTCAAAGTAGGGTTCATAGTTGGCCCACTCCATCCAAGTATGCCCGACCTGGATGGCCCGGGCTAGTCCAATCTTGTCACATCTCGGAAGCTAACCTGAGTTGGCCTTAGCTAGCATTTGGATGGGAGACCACCAAGGAATACCAGGGTTGTGACGCATAGGCAGGCAACGACAAGCCACCTCTGAACGTCTCTGGCCCTGACAAACCCATGAGGGGTTGCCGTAAGTCAGCTGTGACCTGACGGCACTTTCCACCACCATCCAAGTATACACTGGTTAAGAATGAGGAGATTGTTTAAGAAGAATCTTCCTGTCGTTCCTTGATGGTGACCTTTTTTATTGAAGCAAAATGAGCTTCAATGATTCACACTTGGGGGACTGCTTGGAATGCCGGAACAGACGTCAAAAGACCTGTACACCTTCTTGACTTGGGTGTAAAAATAAAACGGCGATTCCTAGAGAACTGGGCGGATGAGCCTTCTAAAGCAAATCTCCTTGTGCATTTTTTACGGAGATCGGGGACATCCTCTGTTAATTCCAAAAAGTCCCTCCCTCCGGACGCCATGTTTTTACACCGCCATAAATCGTCAGGACTTGCAGAGCCAGAGGTGCTGAGAATCTATCTTTGGGATCAAACCATATAATCATATTCTGGTCCAACGATGCCAGAGTGTCAGGTAGCCCTGTCATAGATCTCCTTCTCGTTCTCAGCTCTCTCCTGCTCAGCTACTGTGTGCTATCTTACACTTGACCTTGTAGATGTTCCAGCTGCAGTTTACATGGCTGGGAAAGTTAACGGCTTTTCTGCTATGCCTGCTTGCTTTGCTGCTCATGTGAGATATATCCATTGGCTCCCCCCATTACAGAGGGAATGTTTGATTTCATTATAAGTCAGAGGCCTCAGTACTGATGGCCACTCCTGACACAAGCTGTACACGTGTTCTTTAGTACTGGATCCACTAATAAACTGTTATATCCTCCACAAAGAGTAATTGCGTGTTTCGACAAATTCTTCTTCAGGCAGACATATTTTCCTGGAACCAAAGCTCTCAATTTTACTGTGCACAAGTCAACCATTCTAAAGAAGGCTTCTCTGGTTCTCTGGAGAACGTGTGGAAAATACAACTGCCTGCTGCATCTCTCATGCCTGCTTTGATGCCTGCTGAATTACTCTTTGTGGAGGATATAACAGCCTGCAGCATCTTTCATCATTTATGACTGTTACAATTTTCATCAGTCCTTTATCAGGAGCAAGATAGTCTACAGCGTTGGAAGAGGTCTTTGTAGCTGTGGACTTTTCTTTTAGTAGATAGAATGTACTTTAGGTTTTTGTATGTGTATAAGATATACTAGAGTCTTTATCGCAAGTAAATCAATATATGAAGATACAAGTACATATTAGTAGAAGTGTGTTTTGTTCTATCACGGTGTTTCTTTATGGTTATCTAACTTTGCTGTGTTCCCTGTGTGTTTGTAGCTATTCCCTTCTGACCTAGCCTGACCTCGTCAGATCCCGGAAGCTAAGCAGGGTCGGCCCTGGTTAGTACTTGGATGGGAGACCACCAAGGAAGACGGGGGGTTGCTCCGCAGAGGCAGGCCATGGCAACCCACCTCTGACCGCCTCTTGCCTTGAAAGCCCCACTAGGGGTCACCGTAAGTTGTCTATGACGTGACTGCACTTCCCACCGCCACTTTCTTTCTCTGAACCTTCTTCCCCACATCTGTCCTCCCATCCCTGGCTCTTCAACTCCAACCCTACCTAGTTCCCATCCCATCACTGGGCCAGTTTAAACGGGCAATTGCCTCCAGCTACACATTGAATTTCATGCCTCCTAGCGCTAGCTAGAGACCTGCCCTTTACCAAACTTCCTTCCCCTCCTGATCTTTGTGTCCCCTTTTTGGGACAACCCCACACCTTTCTCTGCTCCTGGGTGGTTTAACTAACTAGCCACGTGGGAGGAACGCATTATTTGGGGTTAAAACAACAACAATGGGATAATAGGATCCTGCAAAGGAAGCTGGCACCAAGGAAACAGCTACCGTATTGTATCAATGACCTGCCGAGACCTGCCATCTTATTTTGCCGCATGAGGAAGTGATCATTTTACTTTTATTTCTTACCCTGTATCTTGGTTACGACAATAACGTTACCCTTTGTTTAAGCATCAGTCTCTACTCTTTTCATTCTCCTCTGGCGGCTTATCAAAAATTGCCTGGGGCTGTATATACACATACTTAAAAAGTCCCCTGGAAACTATTGTCTAGGTCCCTGCATGTGTGTGGGAATGCTCCACCCTGACGTGGGGGTCCTTTTGGTAACACCATACATGGACAAAGTCTCTAGTTCTTTTTCTAGGGAAATATGATAAAATATCGAGGTTTTTTGGGGGGGGGTCCACCCCCCAAAGTTGAATGACTTACGAGCAAATTTAAGATTGACACAGATTTTTTTAAAAAAAGCTTTGTGTTACAGATGAGAAGGGACCTTGAAATGGAAGGCAGTTTGTGACTTGGCAAAGGAACAACTCCATTTTTAAGATCGAAACTTGAGATGACCTCCGATTTCCTATACAACTCTTGGCAACGAATATTCCTGGCTGGTTTTACAGTAGACCAGGGGTGGCCAAACTTGATTAACGTAAGAGCCACACAGATGTCTGAGAGCTGCAAGACGCACACGTTTTTATTGGAAAATATGCATATTTGCTTTTTATTGACATTAGATGAGACAGCCAAAAATAAAAACAAAAGGGGTAAAAATAGATATTAATCGTGATATTGATTTGTCCAATGATATTTATTTGTCTGCTAATTCTATTTGTTTAAGAGAGAGAGAAAGAGAGAGAGGTGGAAAGAAAGAATGAAAGAGGTGGACAGAAAGAGAGAGAAATGAAGAAAGCAAATAGATGGGTAGAGGGAGGAAGGGGAAGGAAGGAAGAGAGAAAGGGAGAAATAGAGCAGAGAAAGAAAGCAACTTTAAATGCATCCTCCAAGCCCCCCCCCCCACGCCCCCGTGCTGGCTGGCTGGGCTTGGAGAAGGGATTTAAAGAGACAAATGCCTTCTCCAAGCCAGCCGGCAGGGGAGGGTCTTTGAGATCGCATTTAAAGTTGCTTTCTTTGCTCCCCCCACACACACCTGAAGCCTACCCAAGGAGGGGAAAACCAGCTGGGGAAAGGAAGACCGATCGGGGAGGCATGCCTCCCTTTCGTTTCCCCAGCCGCCCTGCCAAGAGTAGTACTTGGCTCCCAAGTAGTAGACCCTCCCTATCTGAGGCAGTGACTCATGAAAGCTCATCGCCTGCCACAAATTTTGTTAGTCTTTAAGGCGATACTGTAACTGGACCCTTCCTCTTTCCTGCCTTGCTACGGCATTCGCTAAAAACAAATGCAAATCCATTCGGTCGTGAGATGAAAACAGTAAAGCTCATAATTTTAAAATGTGCATTCTTTTAAAAGTAGACGTGCCCCATTTCAACAGCTGGGCCGGGGTCCCCAACTTTCTGGAGCCTGTGGGCATCTTTGGAATTCAGACAAAGGGGTTGGTGGGCACAACCACAAAATGACTGTCGCGAGAGGCGGAGCTATACGGACGCCCGGAGGAAGTCCAACTGCAGGGGAGAAGAGTGGTAATTTTACAAATACACTGGGAAAGAGGGTGGCAGCTGCTGCTAAAGAAACATCGTTTTAACCTGCCCAGGCAATCCAATAGCCTCTCAGAAGCCACTTTCTGCAAACACTTGGTAGGCACCATGTAAGGTGTTGGCGGTGCCATGGTACCCACCCATGCGCACCACGCTGGGGACCCCTGAGCAAGGCACCTTTCTCATGTTGCAAAAGTCAGCAAAGTCCCCTTCAACATACAACAACCCAGTGTTGCTTTGCTGATTTTTTTTTTTAAAAGAGAGACAGATTTTTAAAGCAAGTGCTGTCAGCTATGCTGCCATGGCAGGTGGAAGGGGGGGGGGGACGCCGGTGTAGAGTCTGCTGCTGTGCTGGAATTTCAACTTCCGTTTTTCCTCGCCTCATCTAATCTGCTGGCCTAGGCCTGTGACCTCGGTACCATGCTGCTGATGCTCTCACTGGGAATGTAGACCCATTAGCACAGGAGGGCTTCAGCTTAATCCCCGATTGGCTCAGACCCATCAGGGGACCCTGCTTTGAAGTGTGTAATTTTTCTCCTTTCACGGGCTTGCAATTAGTTCTGACACGGGATGTATGCAGATGACCTGCCTTTACTGTACTCAATAAACTCGAACCTTCTGAAGGAACGTTGTTGAGAACTGATTGCTGCGGGACTCTGACAAGTGCACTAGATGCTCATAGATGCTCTCTAGTTCTTTTTGCCCACGACCCCTATAATATTACAAGCGGCGGTGGCATTATGCCACGACCTGCCAGAAACAGCTGACCTACCAGTGAAGGTACTTCCAATGATGGGGTTGCAGCACGACCAACCAGTTTGGATACCTTCTGGAGGAAACGAAGCGGCTTCCGTGTTTCCTGAACCTGTATCTTCTTCTCTTGCAGGATCTGAAAGGGGCAAGGCATAGCTAAGGAACTTGGCTTGCTGGCCTAAATGGCATTTCCCCACCATCTCTTTGGGAAGGGCCGTGGCTCAGTGGTAGAGCGTTTGCCAGGCACGCAGAAGGTCCTAGATTCAACCCCCCGCATCTCCAGTTAGAAGGGTCCGGTTGTAGGTGATGGGAAAGACCTCTGCCTGAGGCCCTGGAGAACTGCTGCCAGTCTGAGTAGACAATATTGACTTTGATGGAGTGAGGGTCTGATCCAGTATAAGGCGACTTTGTGTGTTTCTCATGTGATTCTCCCCTGCCATCCCCATTTACCATAAACATTATATACCTTGGCTTTTGCTGTGGATGTCCAAATTTCATTTTTTTTTCATTGTAATCAGACATTTATATATTTGTGTGTGTGTGTGTGTGTGTGTGTGTGTGTTTGTGTGCTTGCCTGGAAGTCATGGTTGACTTTTGGCGATCTCTACTGGGGGCTTGGATGTTTTTCAGAGAGGTGGCTTGATTAGCCTGCCTCTGCGTCCCACCTCTGGTATTCCTTGGAGGTCGCCCGTCCAAGAACTTGCCAGGGTCGGCCCTGCTTAGCTTCCAAGATCTGACGGGATCGGGTTTGCCTGGGCAGCAATGCTCCCTCTAAGCTGTGGAGTCTTGTGAGCAAAAATTGTACTTTGTGAGCTACTGGCCTTAAAGCTGTGAGTGAGCAATTTGGCTCTGCTGCATAAATTAGTTTGCTCTGGATCTGTCCTTCCTGAGCTAAGACAAAACTGTGTGAGCCGGAGGCTAAAAAACTGTGAGCTAGCTCACACTAACTTAGCTTAGAGGGAACACTGCGGGGCAGTCATTGTTGGAATATGCTAGAAGAAACTGGGGAAGGGGGGGGTGCAGCTATGAGGAAAGTGAATACTCATGGATCTGGCCTTATACCGATCCAGACCACTGGTCCACTGAGGTCAGTATTGTCTGCTCAGACGGGAGGCTGCTGGCTAGGCTCTCAGCTGGAGTCCTTTCCCACCACCTCCTGCCTGGTCCTTTTACCTGGATATGCCGAGGATTGAACCTGGGGTGTTCTGCATGCCAAGCAGATACTCTGCCACTGTGGCACAGCCCCTCCCTGTACGGGGAATGAAGGCAGCACGACCCAGGAATGATGAAATATCACCTGTTTTTTAATAGCCCACCTTTCTCATCAGACTCAAAGGTGGGTTACGTTGCAATCAAATCAGCATAAAAAACGTCCAACAAAAAAGGCAGCAGAGACTAGGATCAGCAATGGCGTAGCAGTTATTAAAGTGTTAGATCAGGATCTGAGAGAGACAGGTTCGAATCCCCACTCTGCCCTGGAAGCTTGCTGGGTGACCATGGGCCAGTCACCTGTTCTCAGCCTAACCTACCTCACGGGCTGGTGGTTGTGAGGATAAAATGGAGGAGAGGAGAATTATATAAGTCGCCTTGGGTCCATGTTGGGGAGATGTGGGGGGTGTAAATGAAGTAAATCAGGATCACAACAATCGGATACAGTGCAAAAAAAAATATAGCTATGCCCTGACCTGGATAGCCCAGGCAAGCCTGATCTCATCAGATCTCAGAAGCTGCAAGTACTTGGATGGGAGACCTCCGAGGAATACCAGGGCCATGATGCAGAGGTAGGCCAATCAAGCCACTTCTCTGAACATCCTTCATGCCCCAGTCGGAGTCACCAGAGGCCGCCCTGACTTCCAGGCACAGGCACGCACACACATGTACAATCACACAGAATACCAAAAATAAAATTTAAAAAATTAGATATGATTGCTTGTAAACTAGGCAGAAAATGGAATTAGAAAAGTAAAAAGCAATGCAGTCAAGGCAAGATAATACATGCAATAAGCACTGAACGAGGTTACCATTCTGTTCTCTTTATAAAAGAGCCCTCCTTTCCATTATACTACAGCCTTATTCCTTTTATAGAATCGCCCATGGATCTTCTGAGAAAACAAATGCTGCTAGAGTTTTTGGGGCCTTGTGAGGCCTGAAGAGGGGGAGAAAAATGGGAATTATTCAGGATGTCAGGTGCCAAGAGCTGAAACAGCCTGGCGGGAAACCCAGATTACCTGGTAGACTTGCGCCAGTTCCATCTCCAGCCTGGCGCTCCGTTTCGTAAACCCATCTTTAGTGGTGGCGCTTCGGGGCCTTGGAGCTTCCGTCCGGGGCTGGGTGATGGAGTCGGGGAGAGACGCCTCCAGCTCCAGCAGTCCTGAGGAAGATGGGATGGGAGGATTTGGAGGGGAGGGAGGGAGGGAGGGAGGAAGGAGATTTTGACTGGGACAGGAAAGAGAATGTATCCTCTAGGGCAGGGGTGTCGAACTCATTTGTTATGAGGGCTGGACTTGACATGAATGAGACCTTGCTGGGCTGGGCCATGTGTGTCATAAAATGTAATGCCAAGATAGCGGAGATATAAACTTTATAAAGGACACAAACACAAAAGACTTTTTTAAACTTAAAAGCATGCTTAAAACATTAGCTCTGTAAGCTGCAAACCTACTTTTGATTTATTGACATTCACCACAGAAATCGCATGCTCAGAGCAATGCTCCCTCTAAGCTGCGGAATCCTGTGAGCAAAAACTCTACTTTGGTTGTGAGCAGGTGATTTGGCTACTGCATAAATTAGTTTGCGCTGGAGCCTTCCTTCCTGAGCTAAGCCAAAAATGTGTGAGCCGGAGGCTAAAAAGCTGTGAGCTACCTCACACTCACTCAGCTTAGAGGGAACACTGGCTCAGAGTTCTGAGTCCAGGACCCAGGTTAAAACATGAAGTGGCTGAGTGATTAAGAGAATCTGGTGAAGCAAGCTATGACACAGCAGCAGCAGCAGCAGCAGCAGAACTGGAAGCAGGATATGGCCAGTTCTACTGCGGGCCTGATCCGGCCCCCGGGCCGCATGTTTGGCACCCCTGTCCTTGGGCCAATGAGGCCTCGCCAGGCACAGGTGCTCCAATGCCAAGACACACACAGAGCTCCGTTAATCACAAAGAGCTCCTGCACTGGTTCCAAGGGCAAGGACAGCTCCAGTGCCTGAACGGGATGGACCAGAACTGCCCCTTCCATTCCAATGATGGGGGAGGCCTGCGAGTTCCGCGCATTCCACGCAGCGCCCATGAGGCCTCAGAGAAGAGGGAAAAGTACCCGGATGGCTCTCTTAAATACCATTTACCTTCGTAGGTGTTGAGGTAGGCATTCTTCACTACAAAACGGTCGGCGTGATTGTCTGGGAAGTAACCGATTCTAGACAGAGGGGCGTAGGTCTGCGATTCGTAGTCCGTGTACTCCTTGATCAGGTCTCTCTTCTCCAGTTTCCTTTCCACGTTCTTCCCCTTGGCTATAATTTTTCTGATGGCTGAAAAGAAATCCCGGGCACGAGATGTTTCTGAGGGAAAACTCAGCCTGGGCTTTTAGGCCTCTGAAACCAAGCCCGAACTACAGACCCCTTCATCCAGGGTTCATCGTAACTTAGAACACCAGATACACCATTTCCTCCTCTTTATTGACCTCAGGGGTCCCCAACACGGTGCCCGTGGGTGCCACAGTGCCCGTCGACATCTTTTCTGGCACCCGCCAATTGTTTTCAGAAAGCGGGTGGTGCCAGGTGAGGCTTTTGCCCAGCAAGGCTTCTGACGGGCTGCTGGACATTTGATTGGCTGTGTGGATTTTTTGAAATGTTTCTGTCATGGACTTGGTCATGTTGTGGGGCAAGACTAGACACTGCTTTGCCCCCCTTTACGGTTGCTGCCACCACTTTGGGTAAAATCCAGTCCCCCCCCCCATGTCAGTTGCCCGAAGCCACCCTCTCAGGGGCGTCGCTCAGTAGCCTACCAAGTGGACCGGCAGGAGGGTAAGGACTTGTGCAGACTCTCTCAAGTTAAACTTAATTTCTACAGGGTCCAAACTTGGGAAGCTGCAAAGGACAAAATCTAGATGCACTCAGTAAAATATACAAAAGACAGTTGCTAATTCGGGATGGGCATGGACTGAAAAAATGGATGTTTGCGGTTCGTGGGTTTCACAGACCACAAACTTTCAAGAACGTTTGCGTTTTATGAACCAGTTCGTGAGGTTCATGATGGGGGGCTTACAAAAGCCATTTAAAGGGAACATGTCCCTTTAAATGGCTTTTGCAAGCTCCCCGCCACTGCCACCGTGGCGACGCCACGCAGAAGTCAAGTCAGAAGGCATTTAAATGCCTTCTGAGTCCACTCCCACATCATGCCGCCGCTACAGTACGACATGAGGGAGAGCTCAGGAGGCATTTGCACGCTCTCTCACATTGGGCCGCCGTGGTGGCACGATGCAGAAGTGAACTGCCTTCAGAGATCCCTCGCGTTACACCGCCATGGCTGCAGCAGCACAATGAGGGAGTGGACTCAGAAGACATTTAAATTTAAGGCATTTAAGTGCCTTGAGTCGACTTCCACGGACTGCTCACGGACCAAACGAATCCCCCGGAAAACCCTGGGTGGTCCGTGGAAAGTGGGAGGACATGGACCGGGCAAACAAACCATGAATCGGGCCCTGATCTGTGGAAAAATTTGGTCCGTGGTCCGGTTCGTGCCCAGACTAAAGTACTTAGAATCCATGCTACATCTGATCTCTGGCAGTGGTGGGAAGTCCCTGTCTCAGCTGTATCTGGAAGCCTCTTTAGTCTCATTCTGTCGTCCTTCACGGTAAAACGCATGCTCCAGAGTTTCCAAAATAGACGGCCCCAACAAAGGAACAACTCCCTTTTTCACATCCTGCCCCATGTGTGCTCTGGGACTATCAGCCAATGTGGGTGTAAGCCCTGGGCGTCAAGCCCGCCAAAACTGGACCCTCCAATCAAGAAGTGTCAATACATCAAAGGACTAGTGGTTTGTCCCTTGCAACTGGAAAAGGATGCTCTGTATCGGGCAAGCAGCATTTCTGTCAAACTCAGCCTCTTGTTTGTCATGCCTTCTGGGAATTCCTGCAGGTGGGGTATGAGTGTGTGAGTGTGAGAAGGGCTTTGTTGTAGATGCAACAAAGCTGCCTCCCTCATGGGACAACCTTGAGACATAGCCTGTGCCAGCTTCACTATCTTAGAGAAAGTAACGGTATAATTGTAGGTGGGGGTGCAGAGCACACGCAAGTTGGGTGGGACGAATGTAAAGTGTGACTGGACAGACTACCGGGGGGGGGGGGGGCCTTGCTCGAATTGTCTACTGATTTTGGCAGCAGAACCCCAGTTCTGACTTGGTACGATCTGAGGTTGGAACATCTTTATTCATCGATAAACAAATCACTACCAGTGAGTGTCATTGAGAGTAGAAGAAGAAGAAGAGAAGACATTGGATTTATACCCCCACCCTTCACTACCCAAAGGAGTCTCAGAGTGGCTTACAAACTCCTTTCCCTCCCCCTCCCCACAACACACACCCTGTGAGGTAGGTGGGGCTGAGAGAGCTCTTGACAGAAACTGCTCTTTTTCAAGAACAGCTCTTATCAGAACTACGGCTTGCCCAAGGTCATCCAGCCAGGTGCAAGTGGAGGAGTGCGGAATCAAACCCGATTCTCCCAGATTAGAGTCCGCGCACTTAACTGGAGTAACTTTGTCCAAGAGTCTGACAGTTTCTCCCCTTCCTCCTAGCCACAGAGACGCCTGGACCACTTTCCATCACTGTAACTGTCAAGGCACCTCTTGAGCCCTAGTCACTACAGTTGCTTTGGAAACAGCTGCCACCAGAGCGCAAGAATCTTCACTGTGTGATTGAAGAAAAGCGGCAGCAGCCGTTTTACGGCTGGCTCCACCTCCTGTGGCAGCCGTTCTGGGGTGGCACCAGCTGGGCTTTGTCAGAATTCCGAAGGTGCCCGCAGGCTCAAAGAGGCCGGGGACACTTGGATTACCTTTAGTGTGTTCGTGCAGAATCTTTCTCACTTTCTCTTCTTTCTCCCGCGCGAGGTGAAACCAACGGTTATCTAAGCGGCTGACGTCCAGTTCGTTGTGCTTCTCTTCCCGCTTCTTCAACAGAGCCTTTAAAAGCTCCAGCCGAACTTCTTGCAATCTTCGAGAGGAAAGAGGAGTGACCTGACAGAGGGAACTCTGACTCTTGAAACCTTGTGCCCCAAAAATCTTCTTGGTCTGTAAGGTGCTAGGGGGCTAGAATCTAATTTATCTAATAAAAAAGCATGCGGGATATATATATATATATATATTTAACAGGATTCAACCATTTATTAATCAATTTACTGCTCATCTGCTCATTGAACAAGAGCTTGCTTTTCCAACATGTCCTTCATTTCTTTTTAAAAGCTCTACGGTGAGTACGTAGTAACTTATTTCGGCACTCTCGGGCAGCTCAAGGGATGGTCTCAAGGGACACATGAATCGGTTGCTCAGCTCCACGGGTGGCGATTCCAATGGGACAAAAGGGGCCCTAGGAAATCGGTCACTGCTGCCCCACAACGGGGGGCATTTCAAGGTTCCGGACAGAGAGTGCCCTGATGGGTGGGGCCAGGAAAGCCTGAACTCGTCAGATCTCTGAAGGTAAGCAGGGTCAGCCCTGGTCAGTACTTGGATGGGATATCTCCGAGGAAGTGCAGGGTTGGTATGCAGAGGCAAAAGCTACCTCTGTCTGTCTCTTGCCTTGAGAACCCTACAGGTGTCGCCATAGGTTGGCTGTGACTTGACGGCACTTTATATGTGTGTACACACACACATACACAAACACAGACTGAGTATTATTGGATTTCAAAAGCCAGGGTAACTGTGTGCCGACCAACTGTAAGCATAGAGATGGAACAAGAAGAGATTGGATTTATACCCCACCCTTCACTCGGAGTCTCAGAGCGGCTTACAAATTCCTTCCCCTTCCCCTCCCCACAACGGACACCCTGTGAGGTAGCTGGGGCTGAGAGAGCTCTTTCGAGGACTGCCCTTGAAAGAACAGCTCTGAAAGAACTTGTGACTGACCTAAAGTCACACCAGCAGCTGAATGTGGAGGAGTGGGGGAATCAAACCCAGTTCTCCCAGATTAGAGTCTGCGCACTTAACCACTACACCAAACTGGCTCTCAGTTTGGAAGAAATGCATAAAGGAAGAAGAGAAAGCCGCCTTGAGTCCCGTTCAGGAGAGTGGAATATAAATTTGATACAGGTAAATAAAATGTGGAGGGGGAGAATTTCTTGGCAAGGGGGAGCACTGGTGGCCAACCGGTGCTTTCTCTGCAGGTTCTACTGCCCAGTAGGCCAACACACAGGACTAAGAGGGAAGGATAAGCAAAGGGAAGAATTTGGCACCTACTCTTCTATTTCTTCCTCCCGAAAGGCCCACTCTTTTCTCTCCATATCCTCCATCATTCTCCTCCTCTTGGCAATGTGTGCGACATCACTCAGAGGCGGAAGAGTCGCTTCCCAGGCCCGTTTCTCCCGTGCTCGTTCAATCACCTCCACCTCCGCCTGGGTCGCTGGAAGGCCCCGACCTTCAGAGGACAGGAAAGAACAAAACGTGGAAGAGCAGCTTGGTTTGCGGACCATTGTTTCGAATGACAAAGTGCAAGGCCAAGTTCAATAATTGCTGAATGACTACACCTTGAAAGAAAATAACTCCAACACAATCCACAATAGAGTCACGCCCTTCTAAGTCCGTGAAAGTCAACTGGTTTAGAAGTGTGCAACTAGGGTTCCCAGCTGCCCACTTATGGCAGGAGAACTCCAGCCAATTGTAGCCCTGGCTACAATTCAGTTCAGTTGACTGGCAGGCGGAAACTGGGGCCAAAGGAGAGGATGCAATTGTCCTGGGGAGAAAAAAAGAAAAATAAGGCCTTGGCTACTTACCAGAAGTTCTGTCCATAGAGTTTTTGATGAATCCTATTGCTACCCAAAAGTAATAAGAGTTGCTCTAGCAATTACCAGAAATATTATGGTAATTTTACTATAGAGTTTCTGGTGATTGCCAGCGCTACCCTTGTCACTTCCAGGCAGCTCTAGGAATTGCCAGGAACTCTACAGTCAGAACTTCCAGTTAGTAACCAAGGCTTTATATTTCTTTTTAAATTTTTCTCCTGGGACTCTACCCCTCCTCCCCAAACCCCTCCCTCTCACTAGCAACCCTGGGGGCAACGCTCCATAGGATTGCACTGTAAAAATTGCAGGGTTTGAGCGTACAATTCCTAGGACCTGAGGATAATACAGTACGCATGTCATTGCCCGCCCCCCACGTGACACACAGAAAGCCCTTGCCTTCCTCCACGTCGGACCTGAGAAATTATCCTTGAGAAAAATCATCAACACTTTACGCAACTCACCCCAGGTCAGAGTGGCGAGGGTCAGTAACTCGGGGATTGATCCTGAAGACACCACATATTCAGGGCTGTAGGGATCCGTCTGTGCTTCGCTGTCCCGGTAATCAGTCTGGGTGCCCACGGTTTGTGAGATGAGATAGGCAGGCTTCTCACTGGGTATCATGTGAAGGTTATACAGCTCTGGCCTGAAAGGCAAAGAGGAGCCCAACCCGCTTCCAGACTGTTCTCACACACTACACTGGATAACATGGGACTTACTTCTGGGTAGACCTGTGCAGGACTGCTGCTGTGTATTCCACCGATCTCAGATTATCGTTCTGATGGCTTTATTGTCTTATTTATTCATGTTTTATCCTCCTTAAAGAGCTCAGAGGAAAACATGTTGTTTTCCACCCCATCGCATACCTAAGAAGAGCCCTGCTGGTTCAGACCAGTGTTCCATCTAGTCCAGCATCCTGTTTCACACAGCAGCCAACTAGTTGCCCTGGAGAACCAACAATGAGGGGATAGAGGCTGTGGCCTTCCCCTGAAGTTGCTTCCTGGCACTACTATTCAGCAGTTCACTGCCTCTGAATATAGAGGTTCCCTTTACTTTGCATGGCTAGTAGCCATTGGTGGACTTCTCCTCCATGAATCTGCCTAACCCCTCTGTAAAGGCAGCTGTTCCGTACCTCTACTCCACAGTTTAATTCTTTGAGTAAAGTAGTACTTCCTTTTTCCTGAACCCATTCTCCATCAACTTCATTAAGTGTCCCCCAATTTCCTGCACTTTGGGAGAGGGAGAAAAAGTTCTCTCTACCCATTCTCTCCACCCTGTGCATTATTTTATAAACCTCTATCATGCGCCCACCCATAGTTGTCCCTTTTCTAAACTGCAAAGTCCCAGACTCATCAGACTTTCCTCCAAGGAAAGGTGCTCCAACCCCTTGGTTTATTATTATTTACTTATTTTTATTTGTGAAGCTGGCCCAGTATGGTTCACAACATCAAATCATACAGTAAGACACATAATATAACATATGGTCTCTACAAATCTAAAAATTACATCGGTTTAACATTAAGTAACATTAAGATGGTGAATATTAATCCTTGGGTTGCCCTCTTCAGTAGTTTTTCCAGCTCTGCACTGTCCCTTTTCAGCTATGGTGACTAAGGATGTGCATTCGGTTCGGACAAACTGAAAAACAAACTGAATAATGCCTATTTGGCATTATTCGGGCCTGCCGAAAGCCGAATCAGATTCCCTAATCTGATTCGGCTGGCCGAACAGGGATTCCCTAATAATGGGATTTGGGAATATCGGCAAATTCTGAATATATTTTTTTGGGTGCACACCCCTAATGGTAACCAGAGCTGCACACAGTATGCTCAATAGAATCACATTGTACTTAACAATCCACAATGTTACTTGGAAAAATTATTAGGGACTGTGGTCTATACTACTGCATATCACTTGCTGAAATTAGGACCCCAACAGTGTTCCCTCTAAGGTGAGCTAGTGTGAGCTATGTAGGGAAAATTCCACAGATTTCACCACATGCCTACGTGACCAATATCACTTGATGAGCACACTCATCAGACCCCCAGGCACACCTGGGGCCAAAGGTCATTGTTCAGCCAGGTACTGTAGTGGAAAAATACTGAGATTTAGTCCCAAAGTACTGCTGTTTGCGGAAAATCCTAGCAATGTGTAACTCTGGGATTTATGACCCCTACCCTCAATAAATATGAGAATCTAACTCAAGGGAGAAGGCTTGCTTTCCTGAAGGATCAGCTCTCCCAAGAGGCAGGTTCGGTGTGTTTAAACCAGACGCTTCATGTCCAGCGTTTTCTTTTGTCCCATTCCTTCATCTGGCGCCCAACATGGGGCACTCAAAGCTGAGCAGCACTCAGAGCAACAAGGATCCAGAGGCATCGGAGATTTCCAACCACCACGCCCGGCAAGGGTTTCAGACGCGTCCTCGCATCCTCTTTTGGATCCCAGGTGAGAATGGGAAACTCTTTAACCTCTGCACAAGAAAGCCATAGAAAAGATTTACAATTTCTTCTTCATAAAGCACAGCACTCTGTCTCCTCTAAAGAGGTGACCGAGCTCATTCATGCCATTAGCGAGCAATGCTCATGGTATCCCGAAAATGGAACCTTTAAGATTTCTGATTGGGACCGCATAGGGCGGACTTTGCACGCAGAACCTCGGGCTCCAGTTCAGGTCCTGCGTACCTGGCACCTTTGTTTAAATACCATCCTCCTGTGTATTCCCCAGGCAGAAGAAGGACAGGTTGGTAACAAAAATATCACCTCTCTTCCACCTGCCTACGCTCCTCCTCCACTGCCAGCCCACCCACCAACTGCGCCAGCAGCCTCTGCCATGCCACGGGAGGCTGGAGCAGCCGGTGGAGGGTTTAGGCAACCATCCGTGATGGAAGCCATGGCAGAGGATGCTCTTCGTTCAGGACAGTTGAGTGCAGAAGAGGTAGCAGACCTCTCTCACATCTGCCCAGTTTTAAGGCAGCTTGACAATCAGGGAAACCAGGTGAGAACATGGCAAGCTCTTTCTTACTCAGTGTTGAAAGAAATTAGGGCAGCTCTGAAAGATTTTGGTCTCAATCGTACCTATGTGAAAGGGCTCTTGGAGGGTGTCGCTAATGGATATCTTTTGGTTCCGTATGACTGGAAAAGTTTAATGCGCATGGTACTTTCCCCTGCCCAAAACACAGTTTGGCTTAGTGAATATAGGCTAGCTTGTGAGACGCAGGCAGCTCGGCTTCGAGCTCAAGGGCATAATGTGATTGTGGAACAGCTTAGTGGGAAGGGTCAGTTTAGCACTGCAGACCTCCAG